AGAGTGAGAAATCTATTTCACTTACTCTGACAGGTTGACAATGCCTGCCTCTATTCTCCTCTCTACTTTCCTCATCTCTTTCAAGCTAGTCAGGGTAAAAAGCTTTGTTCCTCTGGAAGGGACCATGTCTTTTTTTGGCCCTGCACACTTCCCTTTTCAAAATACAAAATACAAAATACTCTACCCCACGTTGTGGAGTATGGAGCCTTCAGCAGGGTCAAAGTAAATGCCATCAATTGATAGTCTACCCTCAGCATATTACTCTGCTATCTTTTAAAGAAGAGCACCATTTACTTTGAGCCAAATACTTTGCTAGCTACTTTAATATACCTTTTGTTATCTCATCCTAACAGCAATACTGGAACAGATATTATTGTTATCTGCATTTTACAGAGAAGGAAACTGAAACACAAACATAAAGCAATTTTACCCCATAATACTACTTAAGTGGTGAGCCAAGATACCAGCTGAGATCTTTGACTGTAAAGCATATGATCTTTCAGCATACCATGCTGCCTCCCAAGGAAAAGGGAACAAGAGTCTGCACACTGGACAGCCAGGATACCTTTTTCCTATCTCATTCAACTATCCACACAGTAACTGTGGTGTGCCAAGCGTGCTTCTACACTGCCAGAATCTCTAAAATATTTTTAAAAATCTGAGGAGAAAGGCCATTTTTCTAGAATTGGCATTCCCAACACATCATAAAAGATTATTCTTAATTCTACTACACGTTTTGCTGCTGTTCCTGGCACCTCCACTTTGCAAGAGAACAACTGTATTAACAGTTGGAACTGTTGTGTATGTTTGAGCCGCTGACCAGACAAGGATCAAGTATGGCACAGGTTTTTACTTCTTTTCAGCATTAACCAGAAAAGTGCTAATATGGAGGCATAAAATTGGAGAATATGGGCAGGAAACATGGGCCTCAGAGAAATGAGAGACATTTAGGCAGTTGGAAGAACTTAAAGGTAGTTCAAAAAAGGGAGCTGTGGGACTTGACTCAAGCAGGATTCAGCAATCCCTTTATCCCAACGAAAGACTTCACAGAATGACACAGTGTCCAGTTTACTGAGAAGAGGGGAGCTAGAGCCCTTGGGCATTGCTATGGATTGAGTGTCCCCCCAAATTCAGTGAAGCTTGATCCCCACTGTAACAGTGCTAGGAGGATGGGAAATCCAATTACAGTAATTGAAAGGTGTGGTCTTTAAGAAGTGATTAAATTATGAGGACTATGCCCTCATGAATGGATTGATCCAATCATGGAGTAATGAGTGTAGTTCTATGGCTTTATACAGAGGGCAAGTGAGAAGGTTAGCTCCCTCTTACTCATGCCATCTCTCACCATGTGACACCCTGTGTTGCTGTGGTGAGTAACCACCAAGAAGAAAGCCCTTACCAGATGTGCCCCTGGACTGTGGACTCCCCAGCCTCCAAAACTGTAAGAAATAAATTTTCTTTCTTGTATTCTGTTATAAACAACGGAAATGTACTAATACAGGCATATGTGGTACAGGGGAAAAAAGCATAACTAAAGGAGGAGAATGTAATGGGGAGAGAAATCACACCCCAAAAAATTGAGTAAAAGAGGAGAGAAAAATTACAATCCTGTGATAAACATAATTGAAGGCCATTAACTTGAGACACAGAACTGCCCATTTGTGAACTAGGTCCTTAGGGATGGTGATGAGGGCAGAAAGCAAAGTTGGAAAACTGTCAAATGACTCCATGCAAATTACATACCCAATTTTTATTTTGGCACTTTACATTAATCAAAGTAAAATCACAGCAAGTCATTCTATGAGGCCAATATTACCAAAATCCAACAAACGTATCACAAGAAAAGGAATCAGAAAGAATCTACTAACCAACATCCCTAATGAATATAGATGCAAAAGCCCTCAACAAAATACTAGCAAACTGAATCCAGAAATATAAAGAATGGATTATACATCATGATCAACTGTGATTTATCCCAGAAATGCAAGGTTGCTTTGACATATGAAAATCAATCAATAAGATTTACTACATTAAAAGAATAAAGGACAAAAATTACATGATCATCTCAGTAGATGAAGAAAAAGCATTTGACGAAATCCAGCATCTATTCATGATGAACAGCAGATTAGGATGAGAAGGGAACTCCAACCTGATAAAGGCCATATATCCATCTATGAAAAAACATAGCTAACATCAATACTTAATGCTGAAAAACTAGATATTTTACCCATAAGGCCAGGGATAAAACAAGGATTTCCATTCTCATTGGTTCTATTCAGAATTGTCCTGGAGTTTCTTTCAGGTTAATTAGTCAAGGAAAAGAAACAAAAAGCAATTTTTTGTTCTATAAGCTTAGTATTATTAAGCTAGCAGTACTTCCCAAACTAATCTATGGATTCAACACAATCTCTATCAATGTATCAGGTGGCCTTTCTGCAGCAATTGACAAAACGAACCTAAAATTTCACACAGAAATGCAAGGGACACAGAATACCCAAAACAGTCTTGAGAAAGAAGGACTCACACTTCCCAATTTCAGAACTTACTATAAAGCTATGGTAATCAAGACAATGAGCTACTGGCATAGGGATATATATACAGATCAGTGGAACAGAATCAAGACTCCAGATATAAATCCTTACACTTATGGGCAATTAATTTTCAACAAGGGTACCAAGACCATCCTATGAGGGGAAATCATAGGCTTTTCAATAAATGGTGCTATAACAACTGGATATCCACATACAGAATAATGAGTTTGTACCTCCACCTGACACCATATACAAAATGAACTTAAAGTGGCACAAATACCTAAATATACGAGCTAAAACTATAAACCTCTGAGAAGAAAACATAGGGGTTAATCTTCATGACCTTGGATTTGTCAATGTATTCTTAGATATGATACCAAAAGAAAAACCAACAACAACAAAAAATAGATAAATTAGATTTCATTAAACTTAAATACTTTCGTACATCAAAGGATATCATGAAAAAAGTGAAAAGACAACCCACAGGATTGGAGAAAACATTTACAAATCATATCTGAAAGGGGTTTACTATCCAGAATACATAAAGAACTCTTACAACTCAATAATAAATAAAGACAAATAATCCAGTTAAAAATAGGCAAAGGATTTAAATACATACTTTTCCAAAGAAGATATAAAAATGACCAAGAAGTACATGAAAAGATGCTCAATGTCATCAGTCATGAGGGCAATGCAAATCAAAACCACAATGAGATACCACTTCATACCCACTAGGATGGCTATAATAAAAAAATGGAAAATAAATGTTGGTGAAGATGGTAGGAAATTTGAACACTTGTACATTGCTGGTGGAAGGTAAAATGGTGCAGTCATTTTGGAAAACAGTCTGGCAGTTTCTCAAAAGGCTTAAATACAGAGTTACCATTTGACCTAGCAATTATACCTCTAGATATATACCTAAGAAAAATGAAAATATATGTCCACACAAAAATGTGGACACAAATATTCATAGCAACATTACTTATAACAGCCAAAAAGTGTAAACCCCAGTATTAATCAACTGATAAATATATAAATAAGATGTGTTATACGTATGTCACAGAATATTATTCAGCCATGAAAAGTAATGAAGTACCAACACATGCTACAACATGGATGAATCTTGAACACTGTATGCTAAGTGTAAAAAAAAACAAACACAAAAATCACATGTTACATGGTTCCAGTTATATGAAATGTCCATATGCAGGTAAATCCACATTGACAGTAGTTACCTGGGGCCAAGGGCAGAGGGGAATGGGGACTGACTGCTAATGGGTAAGGGGTTTATTTTTAGGCTGACGAAAATGTTCTGTAACTGGATAGTGGTGATGGTTGTACAACCTTACAAATACACTAAAAACCACTGATTATATACTTTAAAAGTGTGAATTTTGTGGCATGTGAATTATATATCAATAAAGCTGTTATTTTTTTAAAGTACAATCATAAGTCCAACAACCAAGTAGGAAAAATGTGATAAATATTCAACTTTTACCCCAGCTACCAGGACCAATGACTTGCTTCCCTTTTCTTCAGCATCAGCCCCAAGGATTCACCAATGGCAAATTATTATATTTACCAGTCAGCCCTGCCCTAAGTCAACAGCACTGAACATTCCAGGGTCCACACTTGTTATATCTTCTGTATAGCCTTTTTCTCATGTTATGTTTGTACAGCAAACAACACCTTCCTCCAAAAATGGGTCAGGAGAGACTCAAAAAACAGTCTGAGGCAACAGAGAGAAAGGGAAGTACTGCAGCACAAGCTATAGGTGCATGGGCGGCCTCATTGTTCCCAAATCCTTTCCTGCAATTGAGAATACTCAAGGAAACCTAGATATTTTCCCTCCTACACTCTTTCATAATGATCTGTTGGGGAAATATTTTGAAGTCTTCCACTTAGAGTCTAATCTATTACCAATTCCCAATAGTGAACCTAAGCCATTCTCAGTGAGAGTGGTAACCAGAGAATGGTCGAGGGCTACTTCGTCATGCATTCTAATATTTAACAGCTCTTGCCATTAGGAAATAATCTCTAATATTTAATCCAGGTTTCTTATGTTTCATGTAAATAAAATTAACTCTTGTTGTATCTTCAGTGGAGACTGATAAGAGATACTGTTGATTTATATTTGCAAAATAGTGCCTAGAAGGAAACACTAATCAGAATTAGAATTTATTCAGAAGATGGCAAATCAATATTCTCCAAGCATTTTAAGTCCTTCTGTAGATAGGGGTGCCCCAAACGATTCAAAGGTCTCTGGCTAAAAGTGTGTAAATGGTGTGGAGAGACAGTTAAGTGGAATTTAAGGCCAACCCTCATGAGTTAGCAAGGCCAGATAAGTCTGGCTAATCTACCACTTTCCACAAGGTAACAGGGTAAGAGAACTTCAGGCAAATACCAGTAGCAAGCAGAGACCCCTCCAAGAGATAAAGCACTTTGGAAAAACAGATTTCCCATGAATCATCACTGCCATTCTGCCCAGGCCACCTTACCTAACTGAAATTGATTGGAGACATTCCCACATGTTTGCATTATCTCCGGGCTATTCCATCCTAAGGGGTATAATGCACAGCCTGAGCTTATCAGCAATCCTGGAAAGAAAAGCATACACATATATAGAAAAAATATAAACAGGTCTTCTGTCACACCAACATTTCCTCTAGATTAGCTTGGCTCAAATTCTGCCTCCTCCTCTCAGAGCTTATACTTCTCCTTTTACCCTAAATTTCCATGATACTTCAAACTCAATAGGATTTCTCAGCCATACCATAGATGGTATAGTGCAGTACACAGCAGAGGAGACAACTCATACACAATGGGCAGTATTGGAAATTGAAATAGGCCAATATAATTTTTACAGCCAGAATATTTTGACAAATCAATAAGCTAAATTGTCTTCTTCAACCTCTTCTACCTTGGTCTGAGAGGATAACAATGTAGAGATCACTACTCTCTTCTAAAAATCCCACTTTTTATAAGCATCAGGTAGCTCCCTATTAGCTGAAAGTAGGTCATGATTTCTATAACTTGGAGTCAGCTGCTGGACTAAGATCTATAGGAAATGTACACAGTGAGCAGGCTGTTCCTGGTGAACAGAGCACCACACTCCCTCTTCCCTGAGAAATCATTCCAGCTACATGCCAAGCATTCCTCCTTTCTTTGGTTTCCAATACTTTCCACTGTGCCCCTTGTTTTTATCCCTCTTTTGTTTACTTAATCACTACAGGTAAACTTTTTGGGACCTTAGTAATAATCTTGCTCATCCAATCAGAAATATTAATCTGTATCTGCTTGCCAACACTGCCTTCTATGGGAAACTACATCACCCAAAGCTTTTTCTTACTGCCTAGGTTTCTGCGTTTTATAACCTGTGACTCTATCCTGCCTCTGGCCATAGCAGATTGAATCAAGCATTGACATCTGACACCAAAACAACCAAACTCATTAGATGGCAGATAATGGGTGACATTTTAGCCTGACATGAAGAGATGAGCTGGGCCACATTCTTATTTCTGGAATATTTAATCAAGAAACATAGAGGTACTGAGCTAGTTAACACACAGTGAAGAAGGTGGGGGCAAAAAGGAGGTAGAATCAAGTATGTATCAGGCTAAAGCCAAGTTCAATCCAAAGTAATTAGTGGACATCAATTCTGGGTAAGCTAAGCAAACTGATTGGTAGAGGGAAAGAATAGGGGAGAAAAGTGGCATGAAGCAGACGCACCATGAGAAAAACTACAGACTGTCCATGAAAGAGCCAGAGAAAAGAGAAGCCAATCCTTCCTGACAGCTTTCTAGTTCCACTTTCCTTATGTTATAACAAACTCCCTTCTCATTGAGAGAACTCAAGTGAATCTCTGCTGCTTGCAACCAAAAGAGCCTGATTACAAGAATGCTATATATGAGTGTCACACCAAAGGTCATAGGAAGGACACTTGCCATGAATGTGGATGCAGAAGGGAACACGACACAGAACCACCACAGAGAAGGCGCTGGATTAATGATGAATGGATGGCATATTTACGGGTTCTGGAGCTCGGGGGCTCACCTGGATGGTTAAAGGCAGGCTGCTCCAGGGACTGCTGGCTTCCCCTTCACTCTCTTTCCTCATGGAGGAAGAGCACACATAAACTCTAAAGACCTAATAAGCCCACCACTTTGCCTTCAGATGAATCCTTTAGGGAAAAGACCTCAAAGTATCCTTCAAGCTTGTCTGCCACATGGCAACCAGTTTTTCTCAATACTCAGTGAGGTCTCAGGAGAAGACAAGGACCTTAAGAATTAGTGAGAAGGACGTTAGTTGGTTGGCTCAGTTGGTTAGAACGTGATGTAACACCAAGGTCAAGGGTTTGGATCCCGTTTTGGCCAGTCCCCCCCACCCCCACCCCCTACCAACCAAAAAAAAGAAGAAATAGCTAGAAGGGTTTTAATAGAGAAATAGGGAAACTGTCTTACTGACAGTGAGGAAGGTTTTAGAAACTGAAAGAATGACCAATTAAGGTTAGAAATCCCCTTCAGTGGAATGCTTAAAATGAGAAAGCATTCTTATCTGTCTCATAGACTTTCAGGAAATGAAACTGGTCACTCAAAGACCTTTCTAAGCTCTGGAATTTATCCAATGGCAATAGAATAAATCCCACCACAGATAAACTAAAATCCTACAAGATGAGGAGGTAGCTCAGAGTATGCACAATGGATTAAGGACAAAACTGGTAGTGAAACCTAAGCCTTTTCCTGCTGCCAGTGTATATCCTTTGAGGGAAGAGTTAATAGAGACTGAGCTTTCCCACACAGACTAGGAAGAAAAGAACACAAGTTTATAAAAGAACATCAGCTCTACCTTCCAACCTCCACATTCAAATTCCTGGGAGTGTCATGAACTCTGACTTCTCAAGCAGGAACTATTACTAGCCAAGTGCCTTTCTTGGCACAGCAGTGGGAACCTTCCACCTCCTTCAGCCACCTGCTCCTCAGACCTTACCATGCAGAGGAACTCAGGTCAGAGATTACCTCAACTAGGAAGCCTTCCCTTGCCACCCCTAACCCACAGGCTAAATTGCATGCTCTCCTTCTCTGTTCTCATAGCACCCTGTGCTTATTTTGGTGACTAAGGTAGCCTGTGATATATATTCCTTACAATGATTTCTCATCTGTTTCCTTCACCAGAGTGTATGCTCCCTGAAGGCAGGGGCCATATTTATCTTCAACTCTGTATCCTTGGTACCTGGTACATAATAAGTTCTCAGCAAGTGTATCTGTTTCAGAGAATTCTACATAACAGGCAGCTTCCTTTGCCCACAGCACCCAAGGGGGAAGCCTTCTGAAGGAACTTCCATGGCAAGGTTGGGAAATCATCCTTGAAACCTTATATAGTCATAGAACCTAAGAGAGGAAAAGGCCTTTGGAGATTACCTAGTCCAACTCCTCCCAGTTATAGATGTGGATATTGAGAACAAGAGAGGGCAAGTGATTTACCCAAGATCACATAGCCAGCTACTGACAACACTTCTCACTGATCAGAGAGAACATCGACCCTTAGAGACTCTGTCTTTCTAGAGACAGGTGTCAAGGAATGACCACCTTTTGGCCACAGCATCTGTTAGCAGTAATTAGAAAGTTTGCAGGCATTAGATCTGGAGAGATAGCACAACATGGTAGCTTAAGAAAATGGGTTCTGTAGTCAGCCTAGACCTAAATTCAAATTCCAGCTTTGCCATTACAGGCTGTGTAACTTTAGGCAAATTACTTAACCTCTCTGTGCCTTAGTTACCTCATATTTAAAATGGGAACAATAATAGTACTCTATCTTACAGGGCTGTTTCGAGAATTAATGAGATTAATTCAGATAACTTGCCTGGTACATAGAAAGCACCCAACAAAGAATTATCATTAGTTGAGGGCAGCCCCCTCTCCCCAGAAACAGGCAAGGAGCACAGCATGTCCGGGGGGGTCCTAGGCAGGAACGGAGGGCAGTATCCCCCACCCAGAAATAGGCAAGAAGCATGTCAAAAATACCACTTCCACATTGGTGGTACACCACAGCCACTGCCACAGCTTCGGCTGCTGCAAAAGCAGCTCAATGCCACAGCAGTAGCCACAGACACCATGCAGGCAGCCTGCCAGACACTTGACTGTACACTGACACAAGGAGAATCACCAGCGGAGACCAGAGAGGATGTCTCTCTCCTCAAAGCTCACTCCAGAGTAATAGAAGAAGCAACTGCTCTACCAAATGACCAGACCTAAGTGTAGAGATACTAGAAATACAAAAACCCAAGAAAATATGACACCACCAAAGAATACAGTAATTCTCAAATACCAGACCCTATAGAGCAGGAAACCCTTGAAATGACTGAAAAGGAGTTCCAAACAACAATTTTAAGGAAACTCGCTGAGATAGGAGAAGACTCAAACAACATAATGACATGAGAAAAAAAATCCAGGATATGAAGGAGGAAATTTACAAAGAGATTAATACCTTAGAAAAGAATGTACCAGAACTCACAGAACTGAAAGATTCATTCAGTGAAATAAAAAACACAACCAAGAGCTTAAGCAGCAGGCTGGAACAAGCAGAAGAAAGAATTTCTGATCTTGAAGACAGTCTTTTCAAAATAACCCAGGCAGACAAAAACAAAGGAAAAAATGAAGAAAATCTAAGAGAGCTAGCAGACAACCTTAAGTGCACAAACATTGGAATCATGGGTATTCCAGAGGGGAGGAGAATAGAAAAGGCATGAAAAACCTATTCAACAAAATAATAACTGAACACTTCCCAGGTTTAGGGAGAGACACGGACCTTCAGATCCAGGAGGCTCAAAGATCCCCAAACAGATTCAGCCCAAAAAGAATCCTCTCCAAGATACATTATAGTCAAAATGGCAAAGGTCAAAGACAAAGAGAGAATCTTAAAAGAAGCAAGAGAAAAGCGTCAAGTCACCTATAAGGGAGCCCCTATCTGACTAACAGCAGACTTCTCAACAGAAACTCTATAGGCCAGAAGAAAATGGGAAGATATATTCAAAGTTCTAAAAGAAAAAAACTGCCAGCCAAGAATACTGTACCCAGCAAGGCTATCCTTTAGAGATGAGGGAAAAAATAGTGCATTTTCCAGACAGACTAAAACTGCAGGAGTTCACTATCACACAACCAGCCCTGCAAGAAATCTTCAAGGGAATGCTGCAACAGGAATCCAAACAACAATAATCACTCATCTTACTAGCTAGTTCTGTTCAAACTCTTTCATTTCATAATTCAGTCTTGATAGGTGGCATGTTTCTAGGAATTTATTCATTTCATCTAGATGATCTAATTTGTTGACCAACAATTATTCATAGTATTCTCTTATAACCCTTTTGATTTCTGTAAATTAGTTTGTAATGAACCCTCCTTCATTTCTGATTTTAGTAATTTGAATCTTCTGCTTTTTTCTTAGTCCATCTAGGTAAAGATTTGTCAATTTTGTGGGTCTCATCCAAGTACCAAATTTTGGCTTCATTGATTTTCTCTATTTTTTATTTCTTTTATGTATGTTCTAATTTTTATTATTTACTCCCTTTGTTGGGTTTGGGCTTAGTTTCTTAAGGTGCAAA